ATTTATTAGATTTTTTTGGCAGAGGAGGTAGGGAAAAAAAGCGGGAAGATTACAATTTCAACGCTGATCTTCAGTGGCAGGGCTAAATACGTGGCCATTGTTACCCTTCATAGAAAGTTATAGATTTATAACTTCAAAACAAATCAAAACTGAAGCACCTCAGTTTACTTTAAAAACAATACGAAGGCCCTCCCTGTTGGCGCGAGGGGCTAAGACGCGGCACTATGAGGCTAACCGCAGACACCGCAGCACAAGTTCAATCCCCTGTATGGAAGTGACACACATGGTGCGCAGACCTCTCCTGACTCAACCATTTCTCCTCTCAGCAGTGTTTTTCAGTCAGTCCACCTGTTCTGTTCCTCACTGTTCTCTGTCTCTGGTGAATCCTCTCAACCCCCAAACCTCTGGCCTGTACCCCAGTTCTTACATGCATAAATAAATAAATCTTTAAAAAAATAGTGAAATATATTATTGGGCATCACATTTCCCTTTCTAAATATATTTACATTCACATAACTTTACACTTATCACATAATGGTTTCTAAAAATAAACATCAAAATGTTAAATTAAATAATCCCACATCTGATAAATCATGGTAGTATCAATTTTTTAAATTGATACTTCCAGTTTATTTATTCATCAGTAAAATGTAACATTTAACAATGTCCCAGAGAATAGGGGGACATATGCAATATGAAAAGGTCATTTGCACTACAGATTATATCAGACCTGCTGTCACATTGGGGCTTCCCCTTGAACAAAGTACTACAAGGTCATTGCCGGGCCAGCACTGAAGACAGAACTACTCCTGACACCAGGCACCATCTGTCACTGTACCCATGTTCATTGTTACGACGCTGAGCCTTGGTGCTATTAGCATAATGAGTTTTTCTTAACGAATGTGGTGGGTTAAGGCAAAAGGACTTAACATAGTCTCCTCAATCATTTATTTTCTCTCCAACTTTTTAAAAATTATTGATGAGACTATAAAAGTTACAGATTCACTGGCTGGAAAGACAGTTACTGCTTAGGTCAATCCCTGGTACTTACACATGAGATTGGTTTCTCTTGGTCTCTCAGCATGACCATCCCTCAGCAGGGCCCTCAATGTGGAGTGTCAAATGCTACCATTGCTGTCTCCTGGCTGGATGTCGATTATTTTCTATGATTAAAAATATTTAATAATTGGCCTCCCTGGTGGCGCAGGCAGTTGAGCACAGTGCTGTGAAGCTGTCTGCAGCCTCTGCAGCATGGGTTCTATCCTGGCCAGCCAGGGAGATACCACATGGCATGGCAGACCTCTCCTGTCTTCCCGCTGCTCCCCTCAGCAGTGTATTTCAGTCAATCTGCCTGTTCATTCCCCACTCTGTCTCTGGTGAATCCTCTCATGCTCCCGCACATCTGGCCTATACTCTGGTTCTTGTATGCATGAATAAATAAATATTTAAAAATTTTTAATAATTGGGCAATAATCTGCTCAGTCTTTGTAAACTCTCCACTGAGTAATTTCTTATTTTTTACAACTTTCTGCTGGCTGCTGTGCTTTTTTCTGCCACCTTCTTTCCTTCAAAGGAGGAATGGTTATTGAAGGAGCCTCAAACTCTACCCTGCAATGTAAAATACTGTCCACAGTTGTAGTTAGAGAAGAGGTGGTGGTTTGTCTGATGAGCTGAGTCATTAATAAATGGGCTTAAGATTTGAGGAGACAGAAATCATTGTCACGAATGGAAATTGTGCAGACATTGACTGAGATGTACAACCTAAATAAACCAGCTGATACAATGGAAAGATTAAAGGTAGAGATGATAAGGTAGACTCTGAAGAAAACCATCCACAGGGTGAAAACTATGACTTGCAGGTGAAGAAGGATCTTCTAGAGATGAGGTTCATGGATTCGCTTATCTATAAGTCTATGGCGAAGGCCTCTGTGAATCCAGTAGATCAGCATGTTGGTGAGAAAGAGGAAGGACCGTACAAGTACAATGAGTTGAATCCAGCTGTTTGGAAACTCTCCTGTGTTGTCATATAATTTGCTGCATCTTCTTAGCCCCACGGTATTCCCACCATCTGGGAATACTTACTCCATAGTAATGACCTAACAGTAAACATGATTCTCATTAGACTTGATTCTATAAATAGTGTGGGTGGTTCATTAGGGAATGCCTATAGACAAAATAATGCTCATTGTCACAAAGAGGAAATAAAGAATAAAAGCACCAAGATTTCTTATAACCAGGAGAGTGACAGTTTGTTGGAAGATGTCATACTTTGGCCCTGTGGTTGGATATAGAAGTAATATAAAAAAATAATTATCTGCAGCATCGGGTACAAGATCCATCTTAGCTCTAGCAAATAGGGGAGGTTGGAGGATCCAGTGGCGGTACAGGTGCAACAAGAAACAATGGGGGACTCAGTCAGCGGGAGTCAGGCTCTGTCATCAAATGAGTCTGATGCCAAACTAGAGAGGGTCAGTCCACCATGCAGCGCTGCCAGGTCAGGAAGCCTGGGCTGGTCTACAGCCCTGGGCAGCAATAGGCGCAGCCTAGGGGGTCAAGGGTAAGTTTTTAAGTTTGTTAGACTTCTCTATACCATATATGAGTGACATGTTTGTCTTTCTCCTTTGGACTTATTTCAATTAGCTCCATCCATGTTGCCCCAGATGGCATGAATTTATGTTTTTCTGATAAGTAGTATTCTATTATTTATATACCACTTCTTCTTGATTTCTCATCTGTTTTCAGGCATTTTGGTTGTTTCCACAGCTTGGATATTGTAACTAGTGCTGCAGTGATCATGGATGTGCAAAGGTGTCGTTCACAGTGTATTTGTGTTCTGTGGGTACATACATAGAAGTGGGACTGCTGGGCCCTATGGCAGATACACTTTTAATCGTCTATGAAATCTCAATACTGTTATATATATATGTATATATATGTATGTATATATATATATATATATAGTACAATGTCTGCTTGTATGCTTTCTCCTCAGGTGTATTCCCCATAAAATTCCCAGCACCAATTCTCCCATGAACCATCACCATAGTCCCTTGTGCTCTTCTCCCTCATTTTGCTCCTTCTACCTCCCCTCCCTTAAAAAATGTCTCTGATTTATAGTTTTCTGCTAATTTTGGTTTTTTATTTATTACTACTGCTATTTATTTTCCTGGTCTCTTATTTGATTCCCCTAGATTCCTCCTATAAGGGAAATTAACCAATATTTTTCTTCATGTCTCTGGTTTATTTCACTGAACATAATCCCCTCTAGCTCCATCCATGTTGAGAATGGCATGTGCTGATCTTTTTAGATTGCTGAATAGTCTTTCATTATATATATATACCACATCCTCTGGATCCAGTCATTTATTTTAGAATATTTGAGTTGTTTCCACATCTTACCTTTTATAAATACTGCTGCAATAAATATGGGGGGGCATGTATCCTTTTGAGTTAATGCTTTCGTATCCTTTGGGTAGATTCCTAGGAGTGGAATTGCTGGGTCATGGCAGCTCCATTTCAGTAGTTTGCAGAAACTCCACACAGTTTTCCATAATGATTGGACCAGTTTATATTCCCATCAGCCAGTGGGAGAATTCCTTTTCCTCCACATCCTTGTGAACATTTGTTGTTGCCTATTTTTAAAAATATTTTATTTATTTTATGTATTTTTACATCATTTTTGCACAATGTATGCATTTTCATTTTTGCACAATATACACATTTTCATCTTGGTTTTATTCCCCACACAATTCCCACCCTCCTCTTATGTTTCTTGTTTTTTTAATATGTGCCATTCTCACTGGTTTAGGGCAGTATCTCATTGTGGTTTTGATTTGAATTTCCCTGATTTAAGTGATGTTGAACATTTTTTCATATACCTGTTGGCCATTTGCATTTCCTCTTTGGAGAAGTCTTTTTAGCTCTTTTTCCCATTTTTTGACTGGATTGTTTATTTTTGTTGAGTCCTGTGAGTTCTTTGTAGCTCTTTGTGATCGTCTCTTACCAGTTGCATTGTGTGCAAAAATTTTCTCCCAATAAGAAGGGTCTATCTGTTTTAGTTAATATCTCTTTTGCTGTACTAAAGCTTTTTTAGGTTGATGTAATCCCAGCTGTTTATCTTTTCCTTCACTTTTTTTTTTTCTGGGTTGTGTCTTTAAAGATGTTATGGATATTAAGATCATGTAGTGTTTTGCCTGTATTTTCTTCTATGTATTTTATGGTTTCAGGTCTTATGTTGAATACTTTTATCAAATTTCAGTTGGTTTTTGTGTATGGTGTGAGGTAGTAGTCTAGCTTCATTTTTTGCATGTAGCAGTTCAGTTTTCCCAGCACCATTTATTGAAAAAACTGTCCTTGTTCCATTGCCTATAATTTGCTCCTTTGTCCATAAATATGTGGGTTTATTTCTGGGTTTTCTATTCAATACCATTAGTCTGTGTTTTTTTGTTCTGGTATCGCAGTGTTTTAACTATTATGGCTTTACAGTACAGTTTGAAGTCTGGGAGTGTGATGCCTCCATTCTCTTTCTTTTTAGTCAGGAGAGCTTTGGCTAGTTGCAGAAACCTTGATAGTGTTTCCATCAAAACTGAACCCATCTACATTCCCATAAACAATGTAGGACTGTTCCCTATTCAACATGTCCTCGCCAGCACTTATTAATGTCTGGTCTTTCTGATATAGGCCATTCTCACAGACATGAAGTGGTTTTGTTACAGCAATTTCCCAGAGAAATCTGACAGCACTCAGAGAGGTGGAGAAAGATTTAATGTCACACTAGTGCGCTCAGTGGGAATTTCCCCAAAGGGCTGAGCACCCAAGAACAAGAATGGCAAGGTTTTATACAGTTATATAAGGAAACTTGCTATCCCATCCACCATAGCACAAGCATTCTTTATAGTTTGGGAAGGGGGTTCAAGGGAGTCATGGCTACCACCATGGACAAGCAGTGCAGCACACACAGCAACTTCTTTGCTTCAGCAAGCAGCAGAACCAAAGGGTAGACTCCCCAAGCAGCAGCCTTGGGAAACTTTCTGTTTCATTCCTCCCTTTTGATGTCCTTACTATGTGCTAGGGAGTATCAAGTTATGGACTCACAGCAAGCAGCAGGAAAGGAGCCTAAGGGCTCATATTGTCTTAACTAACATGTGGAGTTTAGTAGCCTCCAAACAGGACTGGATTAACCGTGTGGCCAGATTAAAAGCCACGACCCAAGGGTGAGCATCACAAGAATGGAGATCAGTGGACCCAGGACAGGAGGGAGCCAAGGCACAGTGTGGTGATGCTGTCCCACCAAGGGAAACAAGAGAAGCAGCCACCACTGGGTCCAACTCAGCAGCCCATAAGCATTCCCTGTGATGCACCTCGAGCTTCTGCTGTGCGCAGGCCAACCCGCTTCCGGGCTGTGGTTGGAGCAGGGCTGCAACAGGTCACGGTGTTGGGAAGGAGTCTCTCCGCAGGGTCAGTCTGACCTGGTTTGCAGGGTCCGGGCAGGCCATCCACGGTTCTGATGTCTCATGTGAGCTCACAAATGTGGGGAGTCGCGTTCCTTCAGAGTAACACCTGCAAATTTGACAGCAGTAGGGTAGTAAGGATGACAGTACAGGTTCCCACCCAGACAGGTTTCAGTGGCTCTTTTTCCAGTCCTTTACCCAGACTCGGTCCCCAGGTTTGTGGAGATGAACTGGGGATCCCAAAGTTACGGGGCCCTCTGGGTGACGGTTTCATTAACCTTGTGTAGGACATTACTAAGGAGCTGCAGCTGCCGATTTAGTCCCAGTTGGCCAGTGTGTCTGAGGTCTCCCCTCCCCATGGACACAACAGGGGAGGCCGGCCAAGCAAAATCTCAAAGGGGGTGTAGCCACTAGCACCAGGAGTGCACCGAATTCTGAGCAGCACTAAGGGGAGAAGGTCCACCCCGGGCTAACCTGTTTCCTTGCAAAATTTTCCCAGAGTCGTTTAATGGTTCGGGAGACATGTTCTACTGTCCCAGAACTCTGTGGCCGATAGGTGGGAAGATTCCATGTAATATGAAGTAAGCGAGTCAGGTGAGTGGTGATTTTAGCAGCAAAATCTAGGCCAGTATCACTGCCAATAGTCACGGGGATCCCATACTAGGAATTACTCCCCTTACAAGACCTTTGGTGACTTCTCGGGCCTTCTCTGTTCTGGAGGGGACGCCTCTACCCTCCCAGAGAAGGTGCAGATGAGAACAAGTAAATATCTGTAGCCTCTGCAAGGCTTGATTTTTTCTGAGGTCCACCTACAGGTCCTTAAAAGGGAGTAGCATATATGCTGTACACAAATCTGGTACCTGAAGAAGCAAACTAAAGGGACGAAAGTTTATCCACCGGTAGAAGCCATAACTTCTGTGGTGTTTTCACCTTTTTGTTTTTAATTTGTTATTTTATTTATTTATATTATTTTTAAATTATTTATTTTTTACATCATTGTTCATTTTTAAACAATATTTGCTTCCCACCCCCACCCTCTGCCATGTAGTCCCCATAGAATTTCCTTCCCCAATGCACCTGTGCACCATCACCACAGTCCCCTGTGCTTCTCCCTCCCTCCCTCTGATCCCTCTCCCTCTCTTCCTCTGCAGCATGTCTCTGGTTTATAATTGTCTGTTTTTGTTTTGTTGTGTTTAGTACTGCTATTATTTTTTACACTGATCTCTTATTTGGTTCCCCTATATTCCTGCTATAAGTGAAACCATCCAATATTTTTCATTTTTCCTTCTGACTTATTTCACTGAGCATAATTCCTTCTAGCTCCATCCATGTTGCTGCAAATGGCATGAGTTTATCTTTTTGATGGCTGAGTAACATTGAGAATGGCACATATAAAAAAAAATAGCAACAACAAATGTTGGCAAGGATGTGGTGAAAAAGGAACTCTCTTGCACTGCTGGTGGGAGTGCAAACTGGTCCAACCACTATGGAAAGCTGTCTGGAGATTCCTCAGTCTACTAATAATGGAGCTACCACGTGACCCAGCCATTCCACTCCTAGAGATCTACCCAAAGGACACAGAAACATTGATTCAAAAGAACACCTGTACCCTTATGTTTATTGCAGCACTATTTATAATAGGTAAAACCTGGAAACAACCAAATGCCCAAAAATAGATGACTGGATCAAGAAGATGTGGTATATGTACACAATGGAATATTCTTCTTTATTTTTGATGCAAGCTCTCTTTCATCTCAACTCGGGTGTAGTTGCTGGCACAGGCCCTGAGCCTGAGCACTGTGGGCTCCAGACAACAGTGGCAGGAGGTGATGTCTCAGCTGAGCCACCAGGCGTGCCCGAGGCAGGCATTGTGGAGGAGCTGACAGATGAGGGGATGGCGGTACTGGGCAAGGAGGAGCTGGTGTAGCGCCTGCAGTAGGAGGCAGTAGAGCGCCTGGCCACTCTGGAGCAGCGAGGCTACCTCATCTAGGTGAGTTGGCAGTTGCAGAGCCACCGAGGTCAGATCTGCGACTCACGCAATTTAACTGGCACCTGCAGGCTGAGATCCCTGGGCTGCGTGACCTCTGCTGCCTTTTTGCGTAGGCATCATACTGTGTGCTGGTGGCTGCTCTCAGGGACCCCAGCATCCCAGGCGGTGAGGACCTAGGTAGTTGCTGGCAGAAGCTGGCTGAGCAGGAGGGCTACCAGGAGGGGGCGCTCTGCCTGGCATTGGGTGAAGGAGGACTGTGGAGTGGGGGGCGGCCTCTGGCACCAGGCTAGCATCTGAGTTTGTCTTGCCCTCATGCGGGCTCCACGACCTGGACTAAGGACCCAGTTTTCTTTGTACTAAAACCCGCCTGAATTGCTCCCCAAACGCCAGGATTGTGCTAGGCCTGTAGATGTGGATGCCGCCCAGTCCAGGGGCCGCTGGATTTGGAGGGTCCTGATCAGGGAACAAAAACCTCACACAGAGAAATCAGAGGGCACTCAGAGAAGTAGAAAGTGAGAGATTTAATTGCCACACTGGCAGGCTCAGTGGGATCATTCTGCATTGTTCGGGAATTGGTTCAAAGGAATCATGGCTCCACCTCAGACAAGCAATGCAGTACACCCAGCACTTCTCCGCTCCAGCAAGCAGCAGAATCAAAGAGGTACACTCCCCCAAGCAGCAGGCTTGGGAACGTTTGCTTCAGGGTATCATTGTGTTTTAAATCAGGGGGTTGTGAATAGATCAAGAAGGTGTGGTCCATACATACAGTGGAATACTACTCAGTGATCAAAAACATAAACTCATGCCATTTGGGAAATATGGATGGGGCAGGAAAAAATACTAAGCTTGATAAGTCAGAAGGAAAAAATAAATATCAGCTGGTTTCCCTTATATGTGGGATATACAGAAATCAAACAAAGGGTCAGAGTAAAGACAAAACTTCAGCCTGATCCTAGATCTGAGGCACACAGCAGAGGAAAGGGAGAGAGATGGTTCCAAACAGGGGAGGGAAGAGCACAAGGGACTGTAGTGATGGATCATGGGTGCTATGGTGATGAGAGAACTATAAGGACTACACCTGAGAGAGAAATCAAATATTATACAAAAATTAATAATGATGTAAGAGAACAAATGCATAGATTTAATAAAAAATTTTCTATCACTCACTGACAGCTAGAAAACAAATAAAATTAAATAAAGCAGAGGATCCTGAAGTTACAAAATGGGGGTGAGAGAAATCCTATAACATCCAGTCTCACACAAGGCAGAGTTCTCATTCCACGATGGAAAATAATACTGAAGAAATTCTGGTGAGTTACATTAAGTGATAACATTCTCAATAGTCCTCTGCATCCTAAGACTGTCCCACTCACAGCTCCCCACAACCTGGCCCCATCCTCTGGGGTGTCCCAGGGGGTGAGAGACATCCCAGAGTCCTGGGGACTGTTGTTGCCTGAGGAAGCACAGAAGAGACGTGGTCAGCGCCCAGAGATGAGACCCACAGAGGAACTGATGAAGGTGACTCTCGCTAGAGTTCCCTCTACGCTGTCCTCAGGGGCTCAGACCCAACCCCTGATCCATACTTACCTGCAGCCTGACTGTAGCTGACTGCGTGTCCCCTGTGGGAAGAAACATCATGTGAGACAAAGGAGGAGTCAGGTGACAAGTCCTAAAGGAATTCCCAAGTCTAGGTGAGAGGGAAGTTTCTAGAACTGTGACTGAAGACCCAGGTCAGGACTGGGATATATGAAGAATGGATATGAAATGGACCTGGAGTCTTTCCTCAGCAGGGTCCTTCCCCTGTGACATTTCCTGGGAAACAGATCCCCATCACCACAGTTATAAGGTGAACAATTGGTGATTCATTTTCATAAGTGCTTTACAAAGAGTGAGTGTTCACAATCAGCTCCAGACTGGGCAACACGTGTGTGGATCAGACTCCCTAGTAACCAGGAAGGGCAAGTTCTCTCTGGGACATGAAAGTCCCCAGTGGACAAGATCCCCCACTCCCTTCCCTACCTGAGCGCATATTCCTCCACCTCACAGCTGCAGCCACCACAACTCCAATGAGCACAGCTCCAAAGAGAACCAGGCCAGCAATAATGCCCGCAGTGGGGATGGAGGACTGAGAAGGGGGCACTGGAAGGGAAGGGAAGGTAGACCCTGAGCCTCAGGCCTCATCCTGACCCTCTGAAGGTCTCCCAAAGGGCTCATGATTCCTCTGAGCAGAAGCTCAGTGCCCACGTCCCCCTCCTTACCCCAAGTCAGGACTGTAGGCACCAATAGCCCCTCATGCTTCACATGGCACGTGTATCTCTGCTCCTCTCCAGAAGGCACCACCACAGCCACCCACTTCTGGAAGGTTCCATCCCCCCCAGGCCTGGTCTCCACCAGCTCTGTGTCCTGGGTCAGGTTCTCCCCATCTCGCTGCCAGGTCAGGGTGATGTCCGCAGGGTAGAAGCCCAGGGCCCAGCACTTCAGGGTGACCTTATGCTCAGAGGTGGGGTGGTGGGTCACTTGTGTTTTGGGGGGATCTGAAGAGAATGGTCAAAAATTCACACTTTGGGTTTCCTCTAGGGATACTAAAGCAGCCTCACTGACCATCCTCAGAATGGACATGACAATTGGTTTGGAGGGAGGAAGCACAAAACCTAGAAACCAGCCTAGTCTGGAGAATCTGGGATAATCAGGTGAGAGCCCAGGGTAGGAGGACGCAGGTCTCTACAGAGAACACAGACTTTTGCTCCTGACCTGGGTGGAGGGTGAATGACACAGAAAGGCAGGAGTCAGATCCAGAAATGTTCTCAGACCAAAAACAAGACCTTGAAAGAGAAACTCATGGTTCCCAGGATGGCTGCCGGGTCACAAGGATCCAGGGAGAGTTATTTCAGGATGGCCTCCCTCCCTCAGGAGAGACTGGATTCCTTAACCGTCCAGAAAAGTGGTGTCTTCTGGGCGAGTCTCTCTCTAGCACAGAACATGAAACCCAGGGGGCTCTCCCTCTCTGCCCAGAAAGCAGCTGCTGTTCTGCCCATTATTCCCTTTTCCCTGTGGGGCGCCAGGAGAGGGGAGGTCCGAGGCCTTGTGGCCCCTCTTACCTGTGCGCTGCAGCACCTCCTTCCCCAAAATCAGGAATCTGAGGAGCCACTGGAAGCACCTGCCCTGTATACTGTTCCTGACGCGCCTGGCCCTCCCCTGCGCCTCCCACTCGCGCTGGGTGATCTGAGCCACCGAGTCCGCGGGGGTCCAGGAGCGCAGGTCCTCGCTCAGGGAGATGAAATCCGCGCCGTCGTAGGCGAACTTTTCATACCCGCCGCGGAGACGCAGGTCTGGCCCCACTTCACAGCCACACATCCTCTGGAGGGTGTGAGACCCTGAAACCCAACCCACCCCTGTGGTCAGTCCCGAGGTCACCCATGGTCACCCCGCGCTCTCACCCTGAATAAACCTAAACTGAAATGAAAGGGCGGGCAGGACAGTTCCTTCCCCAGGGAGGGGCCTGGCAGATTCACCAGCCTCGAGGGGTCAGTGGTCCCTGAGACTCGGGACACCCCGGCTTAGGGTGGGAATGGGGGGGTGACCTGACCCTGGCCCCGCTCCGTGAAGCTCACCGTCCTTGCTCTGGTTGTAGCGGCCGCGCAGGCCCCTCAGGAGCACTTTGAACCGCTTTGCGTTGTTCCTTTGGTTCTGAGTCTCCTCGTCCAGGTCCTCCTGCCCCACCTGCCCCGCCCAGGGCGCCCGCGGCTCCACACTCTGGCCAGGAGAGTCGCTGTCGAACCGCCCGAACTGCGTGTCGTCCACGTACCCCACGGCGATGACACGGGGCTCCCCATTGTGGTTGTGGTTGCCATTGCCGTTGCTGTTGCCGTTGCCATTGCGGGACATGGTGGTGGAGAAACACCTCAGGGAGTGGGAGTCTGGGGGCGGGAGGGAGACCCGGGCTGACCCTCCTCTCAGCATTGGACCCAGGGCCCAGGGAGATGGGCCTGGAGGGGAGAAAGGGGCGGGGCCGTGAGAGTGCAAAGCGGGGTGGGCCAAGAAGGACCCAGACTCAGGGGACCAGAGCACTCAGGGGAGGCGGGAGGGACACAAGGGGCCAGAACACAACGGGACTGAAGGGGAATAAGAGGTTGGGGGGAGATGAACCTTTCCTGGGGTCCTGCACACTCAGGGGGCTCCTTGCTCCTCCCTCCTGGAGCAACAGTGTCCAGCTGGACACGCACTCACCCGCCCGGGTCTCCATCAGGGCCAGGGGCCCCCAGAGCAGCAGCAGGAGGGTGAGGGGCATCACACTCCCTTCCAGGGGCCTGGGGAGAAGGAGTCCAGGAGAGTCCTTGGAGACTTTGTAACTGGAGCAGGATGATGCTGATTGTCTTCCCTGGACACCCCTAGGAAATGGGGAGAGAGAATGGGGGTGAGTGTGGGGTCATCATGGCTGCACCACCCCACGGAGCCTGTGAGAGGGAGACATGATGCTGTAACAGGGTGACAGGGGAGGCTCCAAATTCCCTTCCCCACCTTAGGGAGGAGTGGATTTGGGCTGGGAGAAGGAGCAGCCTGGAGGAATGAAGAAACTAGTAGCGTTTTCAGGTAATTGTGAATATTCCAGGGTGAATTAAAACTGTACAGGTGGTGGTTTCTCGAAGGTTATTTGCAAAGTGAAACCTGAAATAATATCAGGGAATATTTCCTATTCTGTTACATTTCCATAGGCCTCTCTTGCATATTGGTTGGGACTTGTGCTAATGTATGATTTTTTAAGGTGATACATTGTTTCACTAAGTTACATAGATCTTTAGTGTTAATTACACTGGAATCAAATGATCAAAAAATGTTTTATTTTTTAATCAGAAATCCCAAAAGAAAAATTCATACTATAAATTGTCAAGTAGTGAGGCACTCAATTCTTCATAATTCTGGTTTTCTCTGAGAGCTTATATTTTATCAAAGTTACTGTAATTTGCCATTGTTGATTTTCTTCAAGAAACAGACACTCATTTTGAGGAAAGTGTCTGCTAATTACCCAAATTTAAATAACCTTAGTTTGTGTCATTCATCCTTTCAGGTAAGATTCGTGTTGTCCACAAATAAAAAGAGTCTAATTCATCTCATACAAATATTTTCCTCAGGACACAGGGCTTGGGATGCCTCAGAGTGCTCTGTGTGTCCTTCCAGGTCAGCACACCAGATATTTTAAAATGTGGAGTTGAGGATGATGCAATAATGAAGATAACTTTTAATGCTTTTCCCAGGACATTTTCAAGTGAAACTGGCTTTGATTTTTGTTCCTGCAGGTAAGTGCTGGTGAAGAATTATACTTCTGCAGTGGTGCTATAAGCTCCACTCTTATGAATTTTTACCTCAGCAAATGCCAAATAGTGAAAAGACAAATGGTGTCTAGGTGATGTTTTGAAACTAGTTTTACCTCATGGACCCCATGAAAGGTTCTGGGTGACTTCAAGGGCTCCACAGACCACACTTTGAGAAATGCTTTTCTCAGTGAACCAGGGAGCATCTCCCAAGTGTTCTTGGCCTTTGCTTCCTCTTCACTTCCCAACATCCCTCTCCCTGGCTGGCTCCTGCCTCCCTAAGCTGCCTCCCCTGCAGATACAATGGGGCGCAGAGAGAAGCCCCTGGAAACGTGGAGCTTGCACTGTCAGGAGAGATGGACACTAAGTAAAGGTGACAAAGACACTTGTAAATCCCACCTGAGCCCCATGCTGGGAGGAAGGAGTGTGTTTATTGTGAACGCAGAGAAGCAGGAGCCCTAATAGGACCCGACCACTACTATCAATAGTATCAAAAGTATCAAAAAATCAGATAGTATCAATAGTATCAAAAAATATATATATTAAAAAAAATTAAGCATAAGGAAAAGATTTTATCTCTTCCCATAACTGTCACTTCTATCCCTGACACACGTGCTCTGGCCCCATAGAACCAGCCTGTCCCCTCTGCCCTCAGCCTCCCTTCATGTCCTGCCCCAGCACCCAACCATACTGAAGAGGCCTGTAGCCTAATCTACAGCCTGGTCCTGGCTCCGTCCTCCCCCTCATCTGCTCTTCCCTCATTTATTATGCGCTGAAGGACAGGCCTCCCCAAGATGTTCAGAAAGGTGTCCCCCAGACAGGCCAATTGGCACGTGAATTATTTTCATCTGCGGATCATCAGAGGTTCATCTCAAGAAACGGTTACCACATCTATAACTACCTAGTATGAAAATGGGGGCCTTACCCCAAATTAGGCTTATTACCAGAAACAAGCTTTGTATCTGAGAAACCTACTATGTCAGGGCAAACATAGAATATCAAACCTTTTTTTTTTTTTTAAATATACATATCCTTTTTTTTTTTAAAGATTTATTTTATTTATTTATATAAGCACTGGGAAGGTGAGAGAATTCACCAGAGCCAGAGCGGGGAGCAGAGCAGGCAGAAGGACCGAAGTACACTGCTGAGGGGAGCAGCGGGCGGCAGGAGAGGTCTGCGCGCCATGTGGGACCCTCCTCCGGTGGCCGGGGAGCAGCCGGGGATCGATCCGGCGCTGCAGAGGCTGCAGGCAGCTTTGCAACTCAGCACTCAACCGCTGCGCCACTGGGGAGGCCCAAATATCAGACCTTTGTCATGAGTCACCCTGTCCTTGCCATGTGATCCCCTCCTCTCTCCAGGAGTGCCAGGCCCCCATCTCACTCCTTAGCTCACCCTGGGTTCCTGCACAGATTCACACACTCATTTAGATGTAGATTCCCTATGCATATATAGGGAAATTTGGTTACTTTCTAGTACTAAAAAACAAAAAGGAAAAAGAAAAAAGATGTTATAAAATTTCAGTTGCTCAGAATAAGAGTTCTTGAAAATTAGAGATTTTAATCATAGAAATGAATAAATGAGTAGATGAACTGGAATATCAAAGTCTCACTCCTACTAAATAATGTGAATGGAAAAGAAATGACAGCAGAGAAAAGACCTACAAGAAACTGAGTCTATCAACCAGGAGATTCCAACTAGTTAATAATACAAGTGTTGAAAATAATGGAGAGTGGAAATGATGAAAAAAATTCAAGAAAATCCCTGAGCACTCACAGATAAAATGTGCACACTGAGTGTCCTCCCCGGTTCCTCCTACAGAGGATGAGCAGCTCCACACCATGACCCGCCCCAGGGACTTTCAGAAAGAGTCTGGAGAAGGACAGACCTTGGGGCCCTCAAGTGACAACTCAGGCCTGGAGGCCAGAAGGCCCCAGAGTCAGGCCTGCCCAGTCCTCAGGGGAATCCAGCCCAGAACCATGCCAGGCCCAGGTGAGGGAGGCGCTGGGGGCACAGACATTCACTTCAGCTGTTTGTGGTCTCAGGGGTGACATTCCACATCCCTCCTCTAGTAGGCAAAGGGCACTAGTGGGCAAAAAGGGAAACAAAGATGTTGGACACAGAGAACAGGACACAGGAAAATCAACCACAGGGGAGCAGGGACAGGAGACAGGCCAAGGGTGAGGTGAAGGATCCGGGCCCTCAGCCCTGCCCAGGTGAACAGGCCCCAGTCCCCGGGAGGCAGGACTGAGGCTGTGGGACAGGGGTCTGCCCAGGATGAAGCGGGCAGAATAGCTGGTGTATGTGATATGTCCATGGAGATTCTGACCCTGAGGTTGTCTTGGGGGTGATTAAGAATGAGCACAACAGGAAATAGGCTATGAGGGAACAGGATAATTACAATATCAGGGACAATATAAAACCAATCTAAGAAGGAAAAGCATCCTGGTCTACTCACTACTCAGCTGTGACTGGCTCTCACAAGGTCATGATGCAAACCCTGGATCCTGGGGTGTATCTCAACAACCTGCCAGAGAGCCCTCGGGGGGGGGGGGGGGTCGGGGGAGGGGCGGTAAATGCCTGTGCTGTGGATTCCAAAGGGGCCATCTTCCAAGCCTCCTTGCCACTCAGAGCCAGCTCTCGTGGCCTGGGCAAGAGGCCTGGGTGGTGTGGTAAGGGCAGGGACTTCTCCAGGATGCTTGCTGAAAACCTCAATGAGAAGGAGCAGAGAGCAGGGCAACATCAGGGCCCTAGAAAGGCTGCCGGGAAGGCAGTGACAAGCCTCGCTGGGGAGAGACTGCAGCTAGGATTCACCCAAGAGCTAAAGCACAAAGGAGGAATCAAGTCACCAGGCCCTTCAGAACATGCCCCACATGCTCGGTGTGGTCCCAAGCCTGACACAGGAGACAGCTTTCTGAAAGAACACATGATTCTGGTCAAGGAACACATTAAAAAATTCTAGTATCGATGCAGGTATCGATAGAGAGGAACCAGGCCAAATCCAGAGAGCAGCTGCTGCAGAACCTCTAGAAGCAGATGCATGAGCATGTTGGGAGCTGACACAGAGGTGACACTGAAAAACTCAGAGCCGTGATTTCTGACAGGCTGAAGCCTCCTGGAGGAGCTTTGTGGTGGGCTCCACCCCCAAGACAACTCAGAAAAATGGGTGCATTCAAAGGCTTTTAAGGACAGGCTGGAGGCCTTGACCTACCCACAGAGTGTGGC